AAGATATGTAAATTCCCGTGGAATTCGCATATCCTCTTTCAAAACTTCAGCGTAGTCTAGATATCGCCTAAGTGTTCCTAGAAGTACCAATGCATTGTAAACGAAGTCAATTTGGACTATAAAAATGAATGTTAACTTTACATCCAGTAAAAATAATCAATCTTTATTGGATTTCAAATATGAACATGGCATTTTGCCCTACAGTACAGGATGCACCACTAAAAATCAGGACTCTGGTCTGGCAAGTGGGCACTGCGGGGGGGTGGGGAAGGATCCTCGTGTGCTGCAGGGAGGGCGAAGAGCCCAGCATGTGGCCCAGCTGGGCTGTGGATGGGGGCAAGGGCGGATATAGGGCAGGGCGAACGGGGCGGCCGCCCCGGGCCCCGCGCTTAAAAAAGCCCCGCGCATGTGCCGTGGCAAAGGGGGGGCCCCGCGGAGTTATACTGCCCGGGGCCCCAAAAAACAGTCATCTGCCCCTAGATGAGACACACAGACGCCCAGCCACACAGCTCAGCTTGGCTTCCTGGGGAAGCCCGGTGTGGAGGCATTGCAGGGGTTAGGGCCGACAGCAGGAGGGCCAGAAATCACCTCTCTGGTCTAGCAAAATCCCTCATCCAGGTCCAGTCAGGCCCTGAGGATGCCGGACCAGGGAGGGCCAACATGTATTGAAACATGGTCCATCTATTTGTTATGGATCACCAAATACGAAAACAAAGAAATAAACATTGAAATGGGACACTGCTGTCATGTTTGTTCCTAGAAGATCATATACATTTGCAACTGTTATATTAGTATCTTTCATGAGGTCTGTGCTTGGCTAGACAGCCTTCAATCTGGATAATATAAGGTCAGCCAAGGTTACCAATTCTACTTATTGGATTACATTCAGCTAGCATTCCATGCTGCAACTGGTTTCCAGGTGTCATCAAAAAATTGAAATCCATAAAACTGAAGAACACCGTCTCTCGTCACAGTGTTTGAACATTTATTTGATGTTCAAACACTGTGATATGTGTGTCTATTTCAATCTGCAGCGTTCTGCATGAAATACGCACAATTAAAAACATGTATATGGAATCATAAATATCACTGCTTGTAAATGACCGGTTTCTTCCAATGTGTAGCAAAGGCCTTGGTCCTCACTGAGTGGAAAGTATGACAAGTCTGAAAAACAACTACATTTACAAAGTTCAAATATCTGAACATTTTAATTTGCAAGGCAAAAACCTCACATCCATCTCTCATCGTGTTCTTTAAACAGAGCTCTTCAAATAAGAAGCCTACTACCCTCCAACTCGCTCACTCAGAGGTGTGAAAAAATACACACCACTTTCCGCACAGCAAGTTCAGTGTAAATGGGTTCCTGGTGCTTGGTGGGTAGCTCTCAGCACTGGTAAACCCCTCCACAAGGGGAGTAGCTTAAAACAACAAACAACAATGTGTTGAGAGCTCTCTCCCAGAACTCTTGCCATGGATACACTTTCACTGCACTTTAATTTTACAAATGTAGACAAAGCCTCAGAATCTAGTCATATTGTCAAGACAAAATGAAGGGCCCTCTGCTGTGAAGAAATTATATGGAATATTTGAACTATATGTCCCAACTTTCCATGAGCAAAGAGATGTTCATTTTTAAATTACTTCTTCAGTGAAATATTTGTTCGGCATTAACCAAGGTGGAATTTATTTTAAAAAGCACTAGCCCAGTGAGAAACCTTGACACTCAATCCTATTACCCTTAATTTATGCTTGTTAATTCAGTGTTTGGAGCAGAGAAATTGATTTTAATTCATTTAACAAAACCCCAAAAGACTAGACTGTTCTAGGGCTAACAAACGTGTCAAAGGGCTTTTTTGTTTTGTTTTAAACCAGTCCTATTTCCCCTCCAGCTGGGAATAAAGATTCTTCCTCTCTCAACCCACCCCCATTAATACAGGACAATCATTCTCTGACTTTCATGTTTGAAGTTTCCAGTGATCTCAACGTCTTTTTCTGCACACATTCCTTCTTAGTATTTAAAATAACAAAATTAAAAGGAAGAGAGACTTCTTCTAAGAATATTAATTTATATTTGACTAAAGCTGAGAAAAATTCAACTGCAAGTTTGATACAGAATGCACATGCACACACAAAACTATATAACGTGCTGCTTTATTTGAAATATATTTCAGTGAGAATCCTTACAGATAACTTCAATACACAGCTGCAAAATATATATCCCTCTGAAGGGCTCATTTGTCTCGGGTGCTGTAAATTGTACTAAGTGATAAATAGTGACAAAATAAACAGTTCTAAACAGAGATTCTAACCTGGAATCCCAGTCAAAGTGGTTATTGAAAGGAAACTGCACTCCCACTGTATACACAGTGGATAGGGATAAACAAGGGAGTGCGGTGAATAGGGATAAACGAGGTCCAAAATATTAGAACAATCAGGCAGGAGCATCAGGAATGGCTCCATTTTAAAAAGGTAGGTCTCTGAAGGTTAGAGAACAGCCTTGTCTTCAAAGCCTGTTGCTTCCTGCCTCCATTTCAGAAGGCTCTTACTAAAGCTGGCAAGGTAGTAACAAAGGTGCCTCCTGCCATCGGCATCAACAATATAACAGACATCAGAATTCTGCTTATAACCCAAGTCTGTAGCAAGTATAGATAGTTTTACACCATTTCCAAACCTCTCCTTTCAGAATGGAATAGCTGCCCTAGTTCAATCCAACATTACCTTGCAAAGCATAAATATTATATGAAGAGGAGCTGAAATGTTTCATTGATTAAAAGAAAAGTCACACAGTGAGCTGGTCACATTTCAAGATATAAGTTGTCTCCTGTCTGGCTAGAACTCAAAAACCAGTCCTCTAACTATGGGTATATTTAAATGTTATTTGTCAGAATAGAAGCTATTTATCTGACATCAACTTGATAAACTTGAGGTCAGCTCTTGGTTAGAAAATGACCATTAGAAATCTTCCTGCTTAACAGGGAACTTGGAGAAAATAAAGTATCTAGAAGAGCTGTTAGATAGTGTGTAATTGAATAATTATGTACCCGCATCAAATTTTAGCCATTACACAAGTATTTGATAGTCTGTGGGTGTGAGGTCAGAAGCCAGTGTGCTCCTGGCTCCACTCCTGAGGATTCCCCTGACATCCTGTTCTGCTGCCTCTGTATCTGAGGCAGCAGCATGGGGCAGCAGGTGGGAACCAGTCCATAAGGGGAGCCGGGCCTGCCGTGAACAGAGGCTGCTCCAAGGCAGCAGCGTGGTGGAAGAAGGGGGGCAGGCAGACACCATGCTCATGGGGAGCTGGCTTTCAAGCTGACTCCTCCCCCCTCCATGCCTCTGTGCTTCCCCACACGTATCAGCAGGTTCCCCACATGTAAAAGCTGTGGGTACCCCATGAGCATCAGCTCCTGCCTTCCCTCATCCCTGTGCTGATGCCTCTCTCATAGAAAGGCAGCAGCGGGGGAAGGGGGGTGGTTCCATGGGAGCCAATATGTGCAAGCATCTGGCTTGAAAGCTGACTTCCTGCCTGCTCCCTGGGGAAACAGAGGGGGGGAGAGGGGTGAGAAGTGCGGGGGGGGTGGGAACAAAGGGCAAGCAGCTCCACAGGATCCAGTGCTTGTGCAGGGTCTGCTTAAAAGTCAGGTCCTCACCATCACAAGCTCCCTTCTCTCCCCCTTGCTGATGATACAGAGGCAGTGTGGAGGGGTGTTTGTGTGTTGTCAACAGAATTAACAGGTAAGTCCAGGCTTATCAGTTAATCATGTAGTCGTCTATACTGACATCCCTAGTATCTAGGCATCTAAAAAATAAGACTGTGTAGCTAATGGATACTTCTCGTATTTCTGCTGGTTCCTACTAGCATAAATTAAACCCTAAGATCCTTTCCATATTTTGCAACACTTTAGTTCTGAGAGGACACTCTGGAAGTAATTAATATCAAAGATCCTCACAAAAGAGAAGTTTGGAGAAAACATGAAGTGCTATCAATACAAAGCGTTTTGCAGAACCATCTCTCTTTCCATGAAAATCTCACAGGAGCGGTAGGGTTTGGCCTTTTGGGTGGTGGGAGACTACAGCTGGCTGGGTACACTATTATCCTGGAATAAAGAAATCCCTGTTCTGCCTGTTTGAAGTGATCTTGAATAATAGAGAGAAAGAGACAGATACAGAGAGAGATTATTCTTTGAGTACACTATAAACAAACATGCAACATAAAAACAATACAAAAAATAGAAAGCTATGTTTCATAGACTATTGCAACTTCTATCTACATACTGAGAAGAGGAATGAAAAACAGCTTCCGATAATAGTATGGGTACAACATTGTTGTGCTTGCCTAGCCACCCACATGATGGAAAATGGTCTGCCAGAGCTAGTACAACCAGACGGATGACAAAGACATAAATGAAGCCTTTTCAAACACACTGCATCCTTTTAGGCAAACCAAGGATTCTAATGGAAAACTGAAGGAGAGGGGTTGATCCATAATCAACTGTGTATGACCTATGCATGTCTTGTTTTTTCCCAGATGGTAAACTATATTTTTATTTATTTTATTTTAAAACAGTTTTACATCGCCTCTCTATTTAAAATATTCAAGGTGATTAACATTTTTTTAAAAAATACAAAATATAAAAAAGTAGAATAAAAGACCCCAAGAGGGGGACATAAAACCTACCAAGACACACCAAGAGGAGGGGCCACACAAACACAGACACCAATAAAAGCATAGGTAAAAAAAGGTGGCTTTAGGCTAGCACCTAAAGAATGCCAATGTTGTCACCAGGCAAATGTCCCAGGAAAAGGAATTCCATAGCTTGGGAGCAAAAGCTGAGAGGGTCCTTCTCTACATAGATATCAGCCTTATCTCCCTAAGTGGAGGAACATGGAGCAAAGCCTCCCATCCTGTCTGAATCTGCCTGGGGATTAAGATCAGCAAGAGACAGTCTTTCAAGTACCCCAGTCCCAAACTGGGGGGTGTAGTATGTTACTGGAAGACTTACCATAAGTATATATGGATTCAGTTCAACAGCAGAGCTCTTTGGGAACTAGCATCTAAAGTCTTGTCTTCATTACTAGCCAGATCAAAGGGGCAGTAATAAATCCAGTAGGAGCCAATTTGAGTCTTGTTCAGACAATAAATCAGTCGCCAATCACGCTCCTGTAGCTGCCAATACTCCACCTTAATGAGAAGCACAAGGAAAGTCAACTGCGGACAGAAGCACAAGGGTTGCTAGGATGTGAAGCAATGCACCGTGGGGCATTGGGACAGGCCCAGGATGCCATGCACCTCCCCACAAACATCTGTAGCAGAAGAGGAAAAGTGATCTGTGGGATAGTTGCTCAGAATCACCACTTTGAAAGGCGTTGAAAGTGCCACGAGAGCGGTCATGTTAATGTGCTGGCAGCTGAGAGCAGCATGGACACCCAATAGAATTTTTGCTTCTGTACTCAGTGAACAGCACTGTATCTGTCAGCAATATGCATCTGCCAGTGTAGACATAGCCTAAGAAGTCACTATGTGGCACCCAAATATCACCTTCACTTATATAGCGCATATGCTGACTTTATGGAAATATACACATACTCTGTACTCAAAGACAAGACCACCTCTTTAGTCCAGCACCTTTGGGACTTGACTGATTCAGAACCAGTCAATTTGTCAAACCATAGGAAGTCAATGTTGTCTAGAAGCATTATCAACATTTCCAATGCTCACAGGGTTCTTAGTTCTAATTTACCACTAAATGTCTTCTAAGTAATCACATAGAACACTGAGGGCCAGGACTAGTGGCTGTAAATAAATGTTATGCCCACACCCATGGAAACTAGACATCTGGTTAACTAAATCATGCTGGACTACGGAGGTTGCCAGACTAGAGCG